AACGCAACTCAAACTTTTAGTCATGTTTATAAACCTACCGCAAACGAATTTTTTGTTGAAGCTGTTAATCTCGCCGGCGCATTTTTAGAATTTTCCGATGCCGCTTACGTTAGTTATTTTTGTGATTTCATGAAACAAAATTTTTTAAAATATTATTCACATGTTCCGCATATATATGGTATTGCATTTGTTCTTGATCCTCGTTATAGACTTGCCGCATTGCCAACTTGTATAGGTTACTATTATAATTGTTTTTTTCCAACTCAAGAGTTCGATGATAATCCCATCGACCCTAAACAAGAATACAACGAGGTTAGTAATTTATTTCATCAATTGTATAATGAATTTTATGCACAATATGGTAATGCACCCCCTCCCATGCCGCGAACATCTTCTTCATCTAAAGGAAAATCACTTTTAAAATCTGCATTTGGTTCTCTTATGAAAAAAAGTAGAGCAACTCCCGCTACTGAACAAAGCTCAGTTAACGAGCTTTCTTTGTATCTAACATTGAATGTTGATTATGAAGTTGGGAATGATTTTGACGTTCTTAAGTGGTGGAAGGACAATGAAAGAACGTTCCCGGTTTTATCAAAACTAGCTAAGCAAGTGCTAGCAATGCCGATATCAACAGTTGCCGTGGAACAAGAATTTAGTGCGACCGGCAACGTCCTAACTGATTATAGAACGAGGTTGAGCCCGAGCTCTCTTGAGACGCTAGTTTGCTTCCATGATTGGTTGAAGGCCAAATGAAGAACTCAAGAAATGACCATCGCTCCCACCCGCCACTTTATGGAGGAAACAACCACCGAAGGCGGAGATTCCGATTGATTTTTTATTTCAAAATGTATTACATATTTTAAATGCATCCTAATTCTCAATTGTACTTCTTATTTGAAATAAATATACTTGAATTATTTTATATTATTGTGTACATCAATTCAATAATTCAATTCAATAAAATTCATTTGTAAACTTGTACTTCATATGTAGCACTTCTCAAATTAATTAATTGGTTACAATTTTACAAACTTATAACTTACAACTTGAAAACATTTTTGTAAAATCTAAAGGCTGTTTTTAAATTAAAATATGTAACATTAATATGTAAATTAATTAATTTGTTACAAACTTACAAGTTACAACTTATACACCTATTTTGTAACATTTGTAAATTATAAATCAAATCACTTTTCTAAGTAAAAATAGTTTTACTTAATTAAAAAATTAAAAACATTTTCCTTACACAATATGTATAATTTTCTAAATCATATCACTTTCCTTACACTTTTCTAAATCAAATCACTTTTCTAAGTAAATTATACACAATATGTATAATTTCAAAAAAAAAAAAGTTAAAACATTTTGAAGTGGGAGATTGCTCCCAAACGGCTATATAGCCGTTGGGGCTTAGGGTGGGGGGCAGGGGGGTCGCGGGGGTGGTGGGGTGGGGGTGGGGTTCAAAAAAATCTATAAATACATCTATTTTCTACCATTTTCTACACCTCTTCTCCAACTCTTCTCCATCTTCATCTTCTCTTATTATCCTACATTTCTACTTATACATCTACCATTTTAAAGATGGAAAGTAATTCTTCTGTTATGCAAAACAACTTTGATAAGTGGAAGGACCTGAAGACCGGACTGTGGTGGGCAACTTGCAAGTGGTGCAAGAAAGAGTGTTGCTTGGGGCGTTCACACGGAGTCGGGATGCCAATGAAACATATGAAGTCATGTGACAAAGGTAAAACAACAACTAACGGTGGCGGAAATCCCAATTGATATTTATTCGAAAATGTATTTCATATTGTTATTTTTTCCTCAATTCTCAAATGTACTTCCTATTTCAAATAAATGCACTTGAATTTTGTTTTTAATAACAATTATTATAATTATATAGTATAGAATATAAAAAAAAAATTAAAAGGCCCGGCCCGAACCGGGCCCGGCCCGTGAACCGGGCGGGCGGCCCGGCCCGAACCGGACCCGGGGTTACCCGGGCCGGTTCCGGGCCTCCCAAACCGTGAACCGAGGCCCGGCCGGTTCAGGGCCCGAACCGGGCCTGGCCCGAACCGAGTCCATGCCTATTTATGACATCAAAAACTGATATCAATTCATCAAATAAATGATACTCCAATTCATCAAATAAATGAAAATCAGTAGTATTTGAAAATAAGGCCACTTATTTGATATATTAATATTAGTTTTTGATAAGTTAAATGACCGAATTTTTAGTAATAAAATAGCTTGTATATGACTTTAGTTAAACAGTCAAATGACGAATATTATTAAAAACGTTTCAAAACTACGTATTATTCTTGTTTCACGGAACATAATTTGTATCACTTGTTGAATTCTCACACCGGATACTTGTGAAGGAATTATAAGATTTGGATCATTCCTTCTATCAAGTTGATCTTTTAGGATGGAACCCCAGCTCATATTTTGTAATGATGTATTAAGATTTGTTGAATATTCAGTACTTGAGTCCAATTCAGTTTCACTCAGTTTTTCTTGATTTCAATTTGATGGATTCAATACAATTTAGAATAAATATTGTTATACATGAATCGAATTGCCTATAGTTCGATTTTAATTCAATTTGACATGATTCGATTTGACTGAACCGAACTCTTATACAGCAATCCGAGCAAGGACTCCATGGAATATCATTTCCCACTAATCATCTCGGAGACAAAGAAAGATGGACTTTTAGCACGCGTAAATTGGTTACAAGGTAATTTCATGGAAGCCAAGTTAGATGCATATATGATTGTGCATTAAGTTTCTTGGATGGTTTCTCCACTAATATAAATCATTGTCCGGCATGCTTCTCAGTTCTCCCTGTAAACTATGGAGAATATTGCGACATGTTTTTGACTTTTCATGATTTAAATAGAGCCCCATACATGATTTAAAAAGAAAATAGAGCCCCATATAAAGTCTTGGTATAACAAATTTGATTCGCGTCATGCTCAGATACAAACTTTTGACCAGTTTACTCTTTCATTTACGAATTTTTGACAAGTCATTCTTATACAATACATTGACTAACATTTGGATTAATGACAAAAATAGAATTATGAGCTTCTTAATAGATAAAAATAGGAACACTTTTATTTCACGCAAATAAGTGGCTTAAATAAGATGGTTTCACCGAAATGCCCACATATATCTATCTCTATGTGAAATCCTATGCCCAACGAGTAATTTTTGGAGCGTCCCTTCATCCTCATTCCACCAACTTGCATCACGCAAGAATACTCCACCGGCGGTGGCGATAGACCCACCACCGGAGAAGGAGACACCAGTGACAATGACAACAACTCATCTACCATCGAAGGTGACTCCACTACGAAGACAACATGTTGGTGACAACCACAATCGACTTCCATCTTCTTTTCTATGAACTCGACAAGCATAAGTAGTGTCACTTCTTCCGCCAGACGAAGCTAATGTCGGTTCCAAGGCTGTGTCATTGGAGGCATGGTTGACTGCCGATCTGAGTGGTACCATTGGATGATCGGATGATGTCGTTAGGCTCCATCAGGAGTCTCAGTAGGCACCGTGAGTGGTTTCACTAACTTCCCGGCGGTGTCACTGAGATGTGGAAGTCATGTCATTAGGTCATTGGGAAGTTGAGTCGTGTGATATTGTCACTGGATAAGGCTAGGGATGGACCCCCAGGACCGGGTCCGGTTCTGGGAAATGGAGGCCCGGTACCGGCCCGACTAAGTTTCGGGACCAGGCCGGGTCGGGTACTATATTTTTTGTTCTACCCACCCCCCCACCCCAAACACCCCCAAACCACCCAGCCCAACCCGCCTCTTACCCAAACCAGGCGGAAAAACCAAAAAAAAATTAAAAAAAGACCCAAACCGGTCCCGCATATTCCAAGGGAGCTGCAGCCCGAGCCCACCCCCAAAACACCCCCCGGCTCGGGTCCTAGACCCGATTCTGCTCAACCGGGCTGGTCCCGGTCTCGCTCAACCGGGCCGGGCCCGGGCTGTCCAGTCCGAGTCCCGGGCTGGTCAGACCGGTCCCGAGCCACCCCTAGACAAGGCCAATTAAGTCACTAGGGGCGGTTATTAGTCAATGGTGATTAATGACGAATTGAGTAACTATCACTGGATGAGAGCGGGTGTAAAATAGTCAAAAGTAATGAGTAATGTGTATCATACGTCGTACCATACAAATGTACAATGCTATACAAAAAGTGTGCAGTTTTTTGTGTACACACCCTCTTCATAGTGACTTTGTGAGACTAGCAAAACAAGTATGATTTTTTTGTTGGTTGTTCATAGGGATGGACTCGGGCCGGGCGGCCCGGCCCGGTTACTGTTTGAACCGGCCCGAGAACCGGTCCGGGGGGCGGTTCGGGTCGGCCCGGCCCGGTTACTGTGCGGTTCGGGCCCGGGCCCTTTGATTGGCGAACCGGCCCGGCCGGTTCGGGCCAAATTAATTTTTTTTTTTGAATTTTTTTTAAGTTTTTGGGTTGGGCTTGGTATTTTGGGCCATTTGAGGTGGTTTGGAGTGGTTTGGGGGTGAGGGGGGAGGGTTGGGGGTTAATTAGGAAAAGCCAAAAAAAAAAAAATAGAACCGAGGCCCGGCCCGTCCGGACCCGGGATTGCCCGGACCGGACCCGGGATTGCCCGGCCCGGCCCGGACCCGGGATTACCCGGGCTGGTTCCGGGCCTCCCATTTCTGAACCGAGGCCCGGACGGGCCCAGGCCCGAACCGGGCCTGAACCGGAACCGGTCCACCCATAGTTGTTCATTCATCATCTTTTAACTATTAAAATTAAATGTGACTATATTAAAATTAAATGTGGGCGGAGCGTCCAGCGACAGAGAAGCTAATCTGGCAAGCGGCATGTTGATCAGGACCAGAGCTGGTGGCTTCTTGTTGCAACGAAGAAGATGAACCAACAACAGCGAGCGGCGATTCAACTGGTGGCACTAATCTTTCCAATTAACTCAGATTTTTACCTTGAATAGGAAGGGTAATGCATCGGCAGTAAAGAGTGTAATATGAAATCAAAAGCAAAAAGTTTTTATCTTAAAACATGAGAAGTCATGAACAAGAGGAAGTATTATTTATTAGTCAAAGATAAAAACATAAGCACAAATGATACATGAGGTTTACACTTGCAATAAAGTCATTCGATTTCTATCTGTAGTGGGGTGTCTTCTGCTTGGGTTTCAGTGGCTTGATGAATTTCTTGGGTAGCCTCCACAGTTCTAGTAACCCATTCCTTGAGAGGATCTTCATTCAGATCAATTCTTAAAAGGCCAGCAAGCATCCCTCCCATGAAAGCAACAGGTTCCTAGAAAGAAACACACAAAACCAGATGCAGAGACCAAATGATTATGGCAATATCATTCATACACACTCGACTCGTTCTAACTTTTGAGCACACCAAGTTCAAATATCCTCAACATTGGAACTGCTAAAAGCCCCAGCTTAACAACAGCTCAATCTTTCAAGTTTCAACTATTAGTCATGTTTACCCACGACTTAATTGAAAACACAACTTACTCAATCTACCCAAAACTTACTTATTAGTTCATCCCTAATATGTCACTCCTTCCAATAGGCCATCTATTTTGTCTTAGATGTGTGTTACTAAAGTAAGAGCCCGTTTGGTAGAAGGAAAATCGGCTGGTTTGGCTGATTCTGCTGAAATTTCTGAAGTTCTGGTTGAAGTGGCTGCATTGGCTGATTCTGCTGATTTAAGAAAAAAATATTTTTAAAATATATTTTATTAATAAAATAAAGAAAAAATTATATGTAAAAATAGATAAAATGGTCATCTACAGTAACTTCAGCCAATACAGCCAGAAAAGTAACTTCAACCTTACTTTTTCTGCTTATTACACAATTCAGCACGCTAAAGCAAAAATTACGTGTTTGGTGGAAAAGTTGGCTGATAAGCCTGATAAGCCGAAAAGGGGTGTTACCAAACGACACCTAAGATTACTCACTGAAAAGGCATTACTATAATAACCTTAAACCGGATATTTTACCTATATAAGATTGTCTATTCAACGCACAAAACAATCACTGGTAGCACACATGAAACTCAGTACGCAGGAAACAAAGTTTGAATAATTCCACTGAAGGAGTGAAGCGGCCAAACTGCCAAACCTTCATTAGTTTTTATGCACTTTTCAAAGATTACCGGTACGATAAAAAATCATATTTAAAAAGAAGATGACAAATGTTTATAATTCAGTGAGAAAATCTATATCAAGTTAGAAATGCACATCAATTGGATGGGTCATGGGGTGATATGCTCATATCCCACAAATGCAAAATATTAATATTAATAATAATAATAATAATAATCAAAGAGTATTATTATTGTTATCATCATATAATAATAATAATAATAATTATTATTATTATTGTTATCATCATATAATAATAATAATAATAATTATTATTATTATTATTATTATTAATATTATTATTATTATGGTCATGCTATTGGGAAATGAAGCTCTTTCCAGGAGGAACTTTCCAAATAAAGACCACAAAAAGAGATTCGCTCAGAAACAATCAAGCTAAACCTCCTTTGAAAAACATTGCAGAAAAGGGTGTAATTGCAGATACAGGGACAATAAAGTCGAAAGAGGAGCGAATTAAAAAGAAACAGAGCAGAAGAGTACCTTGAGAGCTTCTTTGATGATAGGTTGATCTGGGATAGGGTTGAAAAAACATGCTTTAACCCCAACAGCTCTTGGGGAAAAACTAGTATTCAAATTCCGACGAATATTCCACTGAGAATGATTTCAGGTCAGTAAATAAACGCACAAGTAAAGCAAAACGCGAAATACTAGGGCGACGGTAAGAGAAAAGGAACTTACAATTGCAGAAGAGGGAGGAGCAAGTAGCACCGACGGTGATGAAACATGACCAAGTAGGATAGCCATCGACGGAAATGTTGGGAGATTCTTAACTCTTTGACCTCGTGCTACGGAAATATATTGCCGCTGCCGGAAATTGGTGAAACTGTCAAACACTTCTCTTTGGCACAGCCCCAGACGGCCAGACCGTAGGGATCCGGACCTGAAATTGATTCGGGTTCTCCCAAAATAGACCCACACGCCCTAAATTGCGTCCTTTTTATTTAGATTTGTTTCGATTCAAAAAATCTAAATGAAAAGGAACTCAAAAAATCGAAATAGGTTTCTAAAAATATGAGAAAATATTACTCCCGAAAATATACGAGAAAATATAATTTGTTGAAAAGAAAAGGGTAGGTATGCCCCAAAGTATTAGTGATTCTTCAAATACCATAATTGAATTGAAATGAAGAAATCAAACCCTTTATATGTTTAAAATTATCAATGGGTATCAGCATGGAAAAAAGGATTCAATTATTTTATTTCAAAGGGTCGAGACATATTTGCAAGACCTTTTTCAAGTTTCTGATTGCAGAATCGCTAATAGTTTGAAAATTTATTAACTCCTTTTCTCTTTCTTAGAAAATTATCAAATATAGGATTTCATAGTACTTCAAAATGATAATTAACCATTGAAAGTAGTGGTAAATAATCGATTTTACAATATGACACCCGAAAGTGGTTCTCGTTTTCTTTTCTTTCTCTCTCTCTCTTTTTTTTTTTATTTTTTTTGTTACTTTCTTTCTTTCTCTCTCTTTCTCTTTCTCTCAACATATATATGCTCAACTCCTCTATTCATCTTTTCCTCTAAAGGTATGTTTAGTAGGATGTAAAATAATTATGTTATATACAAAGTGTAGGGAAGATTGGGGAAAATAAATAATATATAATGAACTCTGCCTTCGTGTGAGCTCCCCACCCCATACTTGTTCTAGTTTAAAAAATACCCCCAACTTTATTTAATTAAATTTCCGCTATCATATTTTAATGGAAAAATTCACATAAATAATCTAAACTATTGACCATCTTCCAATATTAATCCCACATATTGATAATTCTAATATAATTTGAACTTTAAGGATAACCTTCCCAAAATGATCCCGTGACTTGCACTAACCAATTCAACCGGTTACCTAAACACGTGCTTTGTTTTTATTGGCCATACTTCTCTTTTCTTTTCTTTCCTTATTACTTCACCTTTTTCTTCCCTTCTACTTGTATTTCTTCTTTCTCGTGAACATCCCTTCGGTCTGTAACAATGCTTTATACCATTTTCAATTTTTTTTGTTTTGGACAGTTGGACACAACTCTAACCACCATCTTTTATATTAGTTTAAAATCAGTCATTTAATCACCTTTGTCCCAGTCCCTTAGTAGCACTCGATCGAATGGCTAAAACAAAAGAAGTAAAGTTGGCCATGGTTGCACGTTCAGGCTTTCTTCTACCTCTGTAAGTCACTTCCCGACTTGGTCTTTGGCTCTATCATTCTCTATAGAGGACGAAGGTCCCTTTTTTGTTTGGATCACCATCGCCTATGAGGAAGTGGGCATGTGTATTGATGTTAAGCTTTCTCAAACGGACGGGAGAAGCGACTCTGATGAACTGGATAGGTAGATAATGAAGACGAAGGTCACCTGAAGCTAGTCTTCTCACCATCCTGTTTCTCTCCGCCTGACTGTATCCTAACGGCAATGGTGTCGGGAGAGAGCTCAATATTTCCGGAGTCTGTTGAAATCAGCCACCAAATTCCTCATAATGTTGAAATTGAACGGCCCAAAATAAAAAACACAAGAAATCAGGGTGAAATCCAAATCAAAAACTTAAAATTTGGGGGTGTAAAAATTCAATCTTTAAAAGAGAAATGAGTTGATTTGGAATGCGGATGTGAGGGTGAAAGGAAATCGACCAGTAATCCGATGCAGAAGGTTATCTGTTCACCCTTTTACCGGTTAAACAAGTTGCAGGTGAATACGGATCAATTTGGGAAGACATTAGTACCATTTGGGATTATTCTAGAATTACTTATAGTAGGGATTAATATTAGAAGAGGGTCGATAGTTGGGATTATTAATGTGAATTTTTCCTATTTTAATTAACAAATAAGATGCTTGGTCATGACTTTCCTATTTCTCAAGTTAAAATATGCTAAATAGATCTAGTTCCAGTGGGTTTTCCATCATTTTTAATGGAACCAAAGACTCACTATTTTTTGGCTTGGGAATATGATGGAATAAAGCAATATGGCTCAGTAAACTGTCTGCGTTTCTTTATTATGAAGCAGTAGTCAATGCATGCAATTTTCGACGCGAATTTCACTATGGATCATCCGGAAACAGTCTCTCGGTGCTTTAGTACAGGGGTAATACTGCGTTCATCCGACCCCCCTTACCCCATCATGAGAGCCTTTGCGACACTGGGTAATAATGATGACGATGACGATCTAGTTCCAGTGGTCTACGTGGGAAAGAAGTGCTACATGCATGCTTTATTAGATGGTTTAGTAGGGCATGGGGCACAACCGCACAAGTATCTCAATTTTACAAAGTAGAAGATATTTATACAATGTGGACAAGTTTGGGGTGAGGATATCACACATATGCAAAGTTTATGGTATGTTATTTAATTTCCCCTAAAAGATGTTTGACTTGATTATATAATGTAAATTAGTTATAGGGAATTTTTTAATTTTGATGTTTATTTAAAGATTATGGTCCATGCACCTTGGTCATAATTTTGTTTATTTGATGTTTTTAAATATAATTTGGCTCAAAATGTTTAAATTTTAATCTGTCCTCACATGTTTAAATTTAGTCTTATTTAGTCTTTGTGCATATATAAGTTAGAAAGAATAAGGACTCTTAATACAACTTATAATGTGTTGTTAAATAATCATACCATGTATACATTGCCAGATATAATGTTTCATTCTAAGATGCCACCTAATACAACAATATCTTATCAAAAAAAATACAACAATATCTTATTCTACTAGTACTAGACTACTAGTACCGATGAACTTGAGAGGCTCAATGATTTTATTACGTGCTGTTTGATTTAAAAAGCATTGCATGAGGAAGACACAGCGGTTTGCTTGATGTACAATCAGTGATGAGCACCGATTTTCCAGATCCAGTGATGCATGAAAATCTCTAGTTTAGCTGCTCATCCTTTCCGGAGTAATGATAACGGAAAACACATGAGAAGTCTTTGTTCTCATAACCATCATCACATAGCTTTGCATATCTGGTTGGGAATTTTTCTTGGACATTTAGTCGATGTGCACTATGATTATCGAGCAACATTTATATGAAAAGGAGGATTACATGCATTAGCTGTACTAAAAACAGTTGACAGGAGTTGTACTGGTGGAAAGCCAGAGAGGTGCATTCTTTCAACATCCTACGAAGTATACTACTCGTGTCCTATTTCAATTGTCACTAGTAACTTCCTTTCTGTGTTGTTCCAAAATAATACGATAGTATCTACTTTTCTAATATAAACGCCACTAATTGGCTACCTAGTCCCACTATCCTACATGAGGTATAGAGAAAGATAAACATATAGGACTTCACTTACCTAATTGATTGGATTGAATCTTTGAGTGTGACTAAACTCAAGTTTTATTCCAGATGGCTGATACTAATCTAATCCTCAATCCTCTCCCCGTATGACTTTTAAACACGACTTGATTGTGTGCACCAAAAGTAAATATGTTAAGATGGAAGAAATAATAAAGTTCGAAATAAAGACATACATTTCTTCTGCTTGTGATGTCAAAGGGAAACTGAGACCCACACTCTTAGCTGATGCCTTAGCAAGGTTTAAATCTTTAAGCTGAAACCAAAGAGAGGCAACACAATACACTCATGAGAAATAGATATAGTTCCTTCCAAATCTAATCCTTCAACTGTGGCATTGTTCTACTTTTAATCCAGACGTTAAAATTTTCAATATTTGCTCTCTCGGCTATTTGTACAATTGTACATGTATCATTGTAGACTTAAATTGTTAAACTCAATAACTGGGCATGCTACATTATCAAGAGTGGATAAACCTATTTAGACTGATTTAAAAAAACAAGGGATCTGATCTGGAACAGTTCTCGGAATAAATACAATATTAGAACAAAATGGAATCACACGATGTATGATTTTCAAGGAAAGTGTTTATTGTTTGTACAAGAGCAAGATTTCTTTTACACACACATAATAAAAAAAAAACATGTTGTGCTACACTGCTACATACCATCAACTTGGACGAGAAACCTCCCTCATAATTCCTTGAAGAGGGCACCCCATCCATTACACCAGGAACGGGGTTATATGTGTCACTGTCATTGCATTCTCATAAATGGAGTGAAGGACACAGTCCATACAAAGTAATAAATCAAAATAATATGATCAACAGAAATCTAGGCATCCACTACACATCATACGCAACATGCGAAAGCAAATAAGCAACATAGAAAGTCTTCTTCGACAATACATCTCCATGTTCCTTTTGAGCGGCTCTATTATGAGATGAGCCTCTCTAGTCTTTATCACTATGTATGACTGTAAGTAGAAGAAAAATGTTTTCCCTTCATGAGGGGTTTTCTACGGCAAAGTAAGATCTCAAACCCTTAGTGTTGGCAGCAACATATTTTACCCCTCAACTAAAATTTCTATGCTTGTTTGCCTAAGGTTTGAACACATTGCTTCAAAAGAGATATTTCATTCATTTTGTCAAAACACGTGTCTTCTTGCTCTGTTTCGAATTCATGTTCTTTACTAGTAATAAAATATTATTACGGAGTGTTTTAAACTTTGAGGCTTGAATTCATCAAGTACTTTGCTACGAATTGTGTAAAGTTGGTTGGCAATCTTTATACTAGGAGAGCACCCACCAAATAGCTTTTTTTCTATAAAATTCAAGTCTGGTTGGGCATATACCAAGTTGGAAGGCAGTACGGGCTAAATTAAACATTTTACTGCATTTCATAAGTTATAAGTTATAACTGCAGATTGGCAGAGGCATACAATACAGCGGGAGAGTACTGTTTTTGTGTGCATAAGTATCTATTAAGAATTAGTACACATAAAAGTGTATAGCAATATAATCATATAGGAAACTAATTGCAACTAATACCTGCTCCAACAGCGGGCACTGGAAGAATTAAAAACTTGTGTGAGAGTACTTGATGTGATCCCTAGAG